GCATTAATGCATTTTTTCTTTTACTGCTTTATTCCCAAAAGAAATGGGTAGATGAAGAAAAATCAAAGAAAATAATCAAATGTAGACCAGTCTCTTCAACTGCTTATTACGTAATTCAGTATAACATATTTGGGCAGTGAGGAGTTTGGAAATAGATTATTAAACCTTTGAAGAATTTTTAACTGTAATAACTGTTTTCTTTACTAATACCAATGATTGTTTTGATTCCATTACATGACAAGAAAAATAGACACCACACTGCCACTTTTTAGCTGTATGCTATTGGTTGGACAAGTTACTTAAACTCTCTATGCCTCAATTTAGTCCTTGTTAAAATAAGAGATAATAATTTTACCTACCTGATAGACTTTTGTTCTGAAGAATAATGAAATAATGGAGTATTTGAAAAGTACCTGGCATAGAGTAGGTGCTGAAATGGACAGGAGATGGGGAAATACTAGGTAGAAGAGGGTGGTGGCCTGGCAAAGGACACACCTTCAAGCCTGGAAACCTGTGGCAATAAATGGGAACAGGCATTTCTGGTTTTGCACCCAAATGTTGCTTTTTGGCCTGCCACACTCCCCTATCCTGTACTCACATAAACCCCAAACCCCAGGTTCCACGAGCAGATAAGCAAAGGAACAGGAGAGCAAAAGAGCGGCAGAATGGTGTGGCAGAGAAGGAAGGAAGAGAAGGATCGTTTGAACGTCGAGAGGGGTTCAGTTGGGGATGGTTGGAGAGGAGATTGGCCACTGGATGGCAAAACTCTAGGGGAAGATCGTCTTCACACTCCATCCTCTTTTCAGCTCCCCATCCCTCCTACTGAGAGCCACCTCCATCACCCAATAAAACCTCCACATTCACTATCCTTCAAGTCCATGTGTGAACTGATTTTTCCTGAATGTTGGACAAGAGCTCAGGATTCAGAAAGCTGTCATGCTTTCCCTCTGCCCTTGGGAAAAAGCCGAGGATCCACTGAGCTGTTTAACACTTAAGCCATTCATGGACGGCAAAACTAAGAGTGCACTGTAACTCACATGCCCACTTGGGCTTCAGGAGATGGAGGCATCCACCCTTAGATGCTACCATGGAGTCAGAGCCCCCAAAAAGCACTTGCTCTGGCTTCTGCATCTGCCCATCTGCATGCTACCCCTCCTGTAAGGGAGTTGAGCTTACAAGGTGGTGGCCTAACAGACGATCCACACCCCTGTCACTCATCCTGCAAGGGAGCGTCAGGGAACTGTCCTGTTTCAGTGCTGTACAAGTTTCACTATCATAATTATAATGATAACAACTCTTATCATACCCAAATTAAGCTAATCCCAAAATTCAAGACAGCTGAGAAAAGTTTCAGGAAAATTATGATCCTATACAAAGCCCCAGGGGAAAACATTCTTTTAGATTTAAGTGCAAGGAAAGACAGCGCTGCTTTCTCTGAAGAATGTCTATGTTTTCTTCTGTATTTCCCTTTTTTTTCTTTGCCATCAGGAAGTGTCAAAATAAAATTCACATTTAGCTGTAGCAAAGTGTTGAATCTCAAGCCTGCATATTTTAATTTTATTCTTACAGCCCTATTACAAATTTTAATTTTATTTTATATCATATTTACATTTTGATCTTTTTATTATGTTTATTGCAATTTACATCAATTTGTCTATTTATTCACCAAATATATGTTGAATACATTTAAATACTTATACTCTGGTAGATGTCAGGGGTTCAAATAGTAGTGAGAAATGTAAAACAAAAAAGCCAGGGAAAAAGAGCCCTGCATCAATTGAAACTGTGGTCTAGTTAAAGGGACTGTTACTAACATTTGATCACACACATGAATTTGAAAATTTAATAACTATAAGGAG